CTTTGTCAGTCTGGGGTGCTGTAATAAACTCAGTCTTATTTTTTCATTTACCCTTTATTTATACAGATAGTCTCATTGAGTCCACTCTGTTGTTGTATGACAGTCTGATGAAGAGGATGCTGAGGGTTGTCTATAATGTTCTTCATTTTATGAAGAATCCTTCTTGGTACAGTCATCTCCAAAGGTTCTAGAGGAGTCCCCAGAACTGAGCCAGCCTTCTTTATAGCTTGTTGATCTTTTTTTAATCACTTGCTCTGGTGCTGCTGCCCCAGCAGATGATGGCAGAAGAGATAGAGCTCTCTACAACAGACTTATAGAAGATATGCAGCATCTTGCTGCAAACGTTGAAGGACTTCAGCTTCCTCAAGAAGTACAGTCTGCTCTGTCCCTTCTTGTAGATGCTTCACTGTTGCATTTCATGTCCAGTCTGTTGTCCAATTGAACCCCAAGGTACACTATAAAATAGTATTTGGGTTCATCTTAGGGACTTATTCACATTAATATCACTTAATTATTTTGGTTTAGAGGCAGCACGGTGTCGCAACTGGTAGAGCTGCTGCCTCTCAGCGAGCAGGTCCTTGGTTCAAACCCCGGTCCAGGGGCCTTTCTGGGTGGAGATTGCATGTTCTCTCCGTGCATGCGTGGGTTTTCTCTGGGTACTCCGGTTTCCTCCCACAGACCAAAAACATGCATGTTAGGCTGATTGGTATCTCTAAATTGTCCCTAGGTGTGAGTGAGAGAGTGAATGGTTGTTTGTCTCGTGTGTCTCTATGTGTCCCTGCGAAGGACTTGAGACCCGTCCAGGGTGTACCCCGCCCCTCGCACAGTGATTGCTGGACATGGGCACCGGCGACCCCCGTGACTCAAAATGGAATAAACGGGTAAAGATAATGGATGGATTTTGGTTTAGTGAGGACAACTTACTTTTATGGGTTCAATGAACTTAAAAGTCACACATTTAATCTGAAATGAATATCTCGGTGACACTGATAAAGAAGAAATATTGAGTATCGTAAAAAAATCTTGCAGATAAAAGATCAACAGACTGGATGGACATGATGTTTGTAAATGATATAATGAGTTATGTTATTGAACCAATTACATATATATGTAATTTATTATTTTCAACAGGACAATTTCCAGAAAATATGAAAATAGCAAAGATAGTTCTATATATATATATGCATTTAAACAGACCCTTTCCAAAAAAATTAAATATCATGGAAAAGTTGTTTAACTTCCATCTGGAAGCCCAAATTATGTAAAAATAAACAAATAAATACTTGAAATTGTTTAAAGTGTGCATCCTGAATCTATCATCTATTACAGATTAACTTTTTGAATGGAATATGGAAGTTAAACAACTTTTTCATGGGTCTGTGTGTGTGTATATATATATATATATATATATATATATATATATATATATATATATATATATATATAGATAGATAGATAGATAGATAGATAGATAGATAGATAGATAGATAGATAGATAGATAGATAGATAGATAGATAGATAGATAGATAGATAGATAGATAGATAGATAGATAGATAGATATACAGTATATATAAATAAACTACTGCTTACTACTTGTACTGCTATTCCTACTTAGTGGTTTTTCATTTATCATGGGGGGGCCTGAGAAGGGAAACCTGCACCAAACAAACGACTACTGTAAACAGTAAGTGAATTATAATGTCAATGTTTTTTTACAATGAAATGGTTAATTTAGGTAAGAATGATTAAATGCTTATAGTTCTTTTTCTCTTATTTAATGGCTCCCTGAATATATAAGCTTAAGCAAATGTGCTACCCACCACAAACTAGCGTTTAATAAACGGTGTAAAAAGTAAATGATACCTTTTTGTACCTTAAATATGAAATATTTATTCCCTGTCTGTGCTTTAGGTTGAAGTAATGTCACTTATATTAATTATATTATAAAATGCAGACCTTTTTATCTACCGAGTGAGGTCACTGTGCTTATGCTAACTGCTGTTTCAATTCCACAGGATGCTGATGCTAACTCGGCGCCAGCACTTTTGTATGATAGCATTAGCCAACAACAAAGCCTGACGCTGTACATATCATAGCAGGGGACTTTAATCATGTGGATCTAAAAGCAGTGCTCCCCAAATTCCACCAGTATGTAAAATCACTGCCAACTGGGACACTTTTGAAGATCAGGATTTGGATGTGTTTACAGATAGTGACTTATGTTACATTAAGAACTACACTGATATGGTCACAGTGAACAAACACATCGAGTATATCCCAACCAGAAGCCCTGGATGACCAAAAAGGTCCAACTGCTGCTTAAAGAAAGGAACACTGCTTTCAAATCTGGCGACAGGGCCCTCTACGGTTCCACACGTTTCAAAATGCAACGGGGCATCAGGAAGGCAAAGGCTGATTACAAAAGAATGATTGATGACCACCTAGAAAGTAACAACAAAAGGCAAGTCTGGCAGGCAGTACAGCACCTCACAAACTTTAAGAACAGCCG